AATGTAGAAATTGATTGAGGTGAATAGATTGGTTGAGATGTTAGAGATTTGCAGAAGTTGAAGAAATGGTTGAAGAAGGGAAGAGGAAAGTGAATAGTCGGACGTACGGTTTCCTGGCATTCATCTATCTTTTTTTTTATTTTCAAACCTTTAGTTAGCAGTGGGGCCCACAAATAAAATTGGTAGCAGGTAGACTTCCCGCTCATGGGGTCCAAGTTGGCATGTCAAGTTGTAAAAAAAGTCTAAGGTGGCGTTGATATGTGCATACTTGACGGAAGCCAACGATGCACGTGCTACATGTGACACTCCAGCGTTAAATTTTGCCTCATTTCCTCAAACTCGAAAATATGAAGGGTAAAAACCCTCAAATTCAAAAAATTAAGGGGCAAACGGGTACCTTTTATCGATTTGGAAGGGCTTGGAGGCACAAAAAATATTATAAATAAAATATTATAAAAATGTTTAATTTATCTTCTTTTATTGATTTATATTAGTTATTAAGTATGTTTAAAAATATTAATTTATAAATTATTTTTAAATTATTAAATACTAAAATTTAACTATTTTATTAAATATAATTAAAAATTACAAGGTTAAATTCCGTTTTTGATCTTTCTAATATTGAAAAAAGCTTTTTTTTTTATTTCTGTATTAAAAAAATTCTTTTTTTAATTTCTAAAAATTAAAATCTTACTCTTTTTTAATCTTTCTTATTAAATTTTTTGACAAACTATAATTAATTAACGAAATTATGTGATATAAAAATTCACTTTGTAAAAAAGATAATGTGGACATATTTTTGAGTCCACGTCAACATCTTCACCCTTCTGACTTTTGTTTTTTATTTTTTTTAACCTTTGCTGGGTTGACCCTGGTTCACGAAGTACCTAACAAACCCAAGCGCGAGCTGAATTTGTCGTGGACCCAGGACGAACCCAGCAAAGGTTAAAAAAAAAGCAAAAAAACGCTAGAAGACAACCCAGCAAAGGTTGGTTAGATGCAACACCAAAGGTCGCATGTTAACAATTCCTGCAAGAATATTGCCCTTATCATTATCTCATGTCAGAATTAAAAAAAAAAAAAAAATACATCCAAAACAGTTCCTTTGAGAAATGGAAGCTATTATTATACTGTATTTTACCAGATCCACGTGGTAAGAAATCCTTTCCGACAATACTCTCCAACACAGAAGACTTGCCTGAACTTTGTTCGGAAAAACCAAAACAGTTAGTTCTGCGCTTAACATATATGCATCAAATATATTCGCAATAAACAACTCAGTAATTAAACTAAAATAAATTTCAAATACCTCAATCATAGAAGAAACAATAGATTTTAAGCTAAAATAAATATCAAGGTCATCAGATCAAGCATAACCTCTAAATAAGATTTTAAGTTTCGAAGCTCCAGGCTCAGATCAAGCAAAGAAACTGATAAACCACATGAAACTATCTTATCAAAAATACAAAAAAAGAGCAAAGAAATCCGAAGCCGAATTGGCCATCGACGACAACGATTGCCGCCAATGAGTCCCAAAGAGTAGGCAATGTGCTTGCTTCTCCATAGTCGCCTAGAGCCGTGCAAGGTCTCTGAATCTTATTCACAAGAGAAATCAGATTCTCCCATCTTTGCTTTCTGAAGCTAGGTATTGGTGCTGGAAGCAGGAACCGGTTCCTGAATCAGATCACCTGGATCTGATCTGTCGATTGAAAGAGTGACGACGTCGTGCAGCAAGATCTGTGTGATGAGAAACGCAGTCAAGAGGGAGAAAGAAGGAGACTTCTCAATGTTGCTTTTTTTTAACCCAGCGACCTCTGGGTTCGTCCTGGTTCGCAAAGAACCCAGCGAACCCAGGACCACCAAGCTCGCACCTGGGTGGGTTCACGAAGAAGCCAGCGCGCCTGGGTTCGTCCTGGGTTTGCTGGGTTCTCTGCGAACCAAGACGAACCCAGCAATGGCTAAAAATAAAGAAAAGAAAAAAGCCAAAAAGGTCAAGATGCTGACCTGCACTAAAAAAATATATCCACTCATTTTTTTTATAAAAT